GGAGGGGAGGGATCCATGAGAATCTCTATTAAGCTATAGTCCATGCCATGAAAAAGCTTGAGAAGCTCCAGTTCGTGTCAAACAATCATGGTCTGTGATTTGTTTTCTTTACATTACTCAACTGAAGTAGATTGTAAAGCAACTGATAACCGGACTGCAGGTTATTTCCCACCAAATCATAAATTCTTTTAGGCAAGTCAAACTTGGACCCTAGCTCCAGAATTTGATAGTACAGCTTTGAATGTAGACTTGAACCATACTGGGACCATCTGTATGCAATCAGCTGACCTAGTGAACACAATTTCCTAGGCAGAAATGGAATTCCTTCACGTAGTTTGTCCTGCACTGAAAGGGCAGCTGAAGAAAAGCCTCACTAATCTGCACTAACTAGTGGGGTGGGCCTAAATTCAGATCAGTGAGGGTTGCAAATTAGCAAGTACTGGGATGGTCAGGAGAAGCATCAGCTTCACCTGCCAATTAGTAAGGGTCCTAAGCCCTGAATGCCAGGGCGGGATCAGGAGGTGACATGGTGTTCTCCATTAGATCAGAGAGAATAATGTCACTCATATTGACTCAGACCCAGCACAACAGTAGTACTACAGTAAACTGTAAGCCAAAAAAAAAAAAAAAATCTATTTTCAGTACAAACTTGTGGTTTAATCATCTTCTAGTGTCCCTGAAAAATCATCACATGGAAAAGGCACATATAAAACACAGGATTATGCATTTCCTGCACCCATCAGTGTGAGCCCTGTTTTGCTACAAGTGCAGGATTTTAATACTTGAATTTTGTCTGATCACCCCATCATTTAAATAGATATCAGGAGAGCCTTCTTCAAATACTGCAGCTCTTTTATTGAGTCTGATCACTCATGAGTAAGGCTGCGAGTCTGTCATGGAGGTCATGGAAGTCACGGATTCCGTGAATTTCCATGACCTCCATGACTTCTGCAGCGGCCAGTGCACCTGGCTCAGGGACAGGGATAGCGCACAGGCCACTGCTGGGGCAGTCTCGGGCCACCATGCCCCTGCTCCCCAGCAGCAGAATTTGGGCGTGAGAGGGGCAGGGGGTTGGGGCACCGGACGGGGTGAGGCGGGCTCTGGGCGGCGTTTACCTGGAGGGCTCCTCAGAAGCTGCAACATCCCCCTCGCTCAGCTGCTTGACGGAGGTGTGGCCAGGCAGCACTGCATGCTGCCTCCACCTAGAGTGCTGGCTTCACAGCTCCCATTGGCCAGGAACCGTGACCAATGGGAGCTGCAGGGATAGTGCCTGCAGGCGGAGGCAGCGTGCATAGCTGCCTGGCCTAGCCTCCACCTAGGAGCTGAGCGAGGGGGGGGATGTCGCTGCTTCCAGGGAGCCTCCCAGGTAAGCGCCACCCAGAGCCTGCCTCACCCCATCCCGTGCCCCAAACCCCTACCCCCTCCCACACCCAAACTCTTCTGCTGCGGGGGTGGGGGGCGAGAGGACGCGGAGCCAGGTAGGGAGCCTGCTGGCCCAGCCAACCCTCCCTTCCCCGCCCCCAGCACCAGTGGGAGTCTGCTCCCCCTCCAAGCAGCCTGGACACCCTCCCCCTGCACCTTTGGGGTCCCGGGCAGTCCCCCCCATAAGTTTTATTCAGTGGTATTTTTAGTAAAAGTCATGGATAGGTGATGGCCATGAATTTTTGTTTACTGCCCGTGACCTGTCTGTGACTTTTACTAAAAATACCCATGACTAAAACATAGCCTTACTCATGAGGCACTGGACTCTTGTCAACTAGTTATTCTATTTCTACTTTGGATACTTATATGGCCCCCATTACTGTAGTGCCTGAGCACCTCACAATCTTTAATGCATTTATCCTCACAACACCAATTTTACTGCTGGGGAACTGAGGCACAGAGAGACTAAATGACTTGCCCAAGGTCACATAGGAAGTCTGTGGCAGAGCAGAGATCTGACACCAGGTCTCCAGAGTCCTAGGCTAGCACCTTTACCCACCGTACCATTCTTCCTCTCTTACTGAACTTCAGCCCTAACAGGCCCTGGCAATATTCTCTCACTAGGGCCAACAACTGAACAGCTCCCTTATTCTCAAGCTTCTGAGACACAAACAAAATTGCAGATAAAATTAATAAAAATCTGAAACTGCCTCCAATAAAAGGTAGTAAAACTCCAGGAGAAAGTTTATATATCTAAATAGTTTTAGATAAATAATGTACAGTATTTTAACAGAGAACTCAGCTGTTACTGTCATCTCTTTTATGGTGGTGTTGCCTCTTAAAATCAAAGCCTTTGGTGAGAAGAAATATTGACTTGAGGACAGACAAGGATGTCAAATCAGGGACAGCAGACAGATCTAAGTCAGCACCTTTTGCACACAAGTACACCTCTACCCCGGTATAACGCGCCCCGATAGAACACAAATTTGGATATAACGCGGTAAAGCAGTGCTCCGAGGGGGGCGGGGCTGCACACTCCGGTGGATCAAAGCAAGTTCGATATAACGCGGTAAGATTTTTTGGCTCCCGAGAACAGCGTTATATCGGGGTAGAGGTGTAATACTACTGTCCACTGGATAATACATTAGCAGCCTATTATGCATATTGATATGACTTCTGTGACTAGAAAGAGGTTGCGTTAAGTACCACAGTTTTGTCTTAAATCACAAAATGCCAGACCAAAAAAACCAAAGTTAACAGGGCCTTATCCTGCAGCAGCTTGCGCTTGCAAGACTCCCTCTGACTTTAACTGCAGTGATGCCCACATCTGCAAAATGTAGGCTCTGTCCTTAACCAGTCCCACTGTTTCTAGGCAATGCGAAACACAGAGTCTTCTATAAGGTTGAGCATGTGCATTAGTACTAAGCACAGGAGGATGAGATAAGAACAGAGTGGAAGCCTTGCCTACAAACATCCTGGACTCTGGAGGCAAGACACTTACAAGATTTTTTTTTTAAAAGTATATTTGTTCTGTAATTAGTTGTGTACACGACATCCCAAAAATGATACTGTTAATGCATACAGTCAACAAGACACACCAGATTATGTTGTTACTCTATAGGAGCAGTCAAAAGCATCGCACACACCTCTCTGCCAGCAGTCTAAAACCTCAGCTATTGAAACATGTGGTGACTCAATGCAGTTAGCAGCTCCCTTTTGCTTGGAACAAATCGAAGGTTTGTAAAAACAATTTCTGAAGAATTTCCTCCTAATAATTTCAAGCTAAACAACATTAAGCTCCTCATTTCTCATCTCACAACTGGCAATGAGGAAATCCCCTGGAGCCCAATATCAGATGTCAATGCAACCATAAAGCTGATATACTGTATTGTATTCCCTTTACGACCCAGTGGAGCTAGGAAACACTTAAGATAGTATGAGAAGCCTACATTGTGAGCAACAGAACCCTTCTGGACCCTCCAGGGTTTGTTAAATGTTTACACAGGCAGGACTATATCCACAGTTGGATAGCATCAACATGGTAACAACAGCAACTATTTACATGGAAGTGCAATAGTAGGTATTTTTAGTTATTTCTAATGCAGTAAGCATTTGCCCTAAAAAAAAAAAAAAAAAAAAAAAAATCATTGTCTACTTATACTCTTCATTTCATCTCACATTCCAATCTGTTCTGTTCTATCTTCTCATGTTCCCTTCATGATTCTCTGCCATCTGATCATCAACTCCTTAACCTCTCCACAAGATTCCCAGTGCTTGTCTCCTGCTGTCTTGGACAGGCTACCCAACTATCCGGTCTTCTTTTTGAGCACACTATCTGATCCCTTCACTGCTGGACACTCATCTCCTGCTGGTGACTGGCAGTTCCAGTCACACTGGAGGCTCCAGAGAGCAGCTCCTTTCATCCTCTAACACAGCAGTAGTCCCAAATAGAGACAGCTAGGTTAGCAGTCCCTCCTCATTTTCAGCTCCTTTTACAGTCCAAAGGTTGGACACCTGTAGAAGCAGCAGAAAACACAGAAAAGACGAAGCAACACGTGACCAGCTAGCTCTTCAATGGACTACTTATGTGCTTAAAGCTAAGCCTGATCGGGGCCTAAATCAGTGCCTTAAATCTGATGCAGGTGATGGAAAGTCTATCATCTGCTGCGTAATCTGCAATGAGAAGGGGGTCTTAATTTAGGTCATGATAGAGAGACATCTGTTATAAAACTACTGTCTCAGTTGGCACTCTCCTTCCACGTTGTCGGTTTCAATACGTGGTCTGGTTGAACATGGAAATACCCTCCTATCCTTACAGGTAATTCCCAAAATCACTTGAGAAATGTTGCTGTGGAAGAGTTAGCACTGCCACTGCTCTTTCATTCAAAGGCCCCAGTCCTGCAGTAGGATCCGCATGAGTGGACCCTTGCTTTCACATGGAGCTCCATTAACTTCAGAGGGTTCTTCACAGATACAAGGGTCCTAAAGTAACAAAAGCTAACTTGTGTTCTGCCATCAATTGATGGTGGCTGATCTCCACCTCACACTACATCCAGCCCGAAGTGACAGCTAACACATGGCCCCCACCAGACTGGACAAAGGTTGAAATACCACCCAGAGCCATGCATAGGCAGCAGTATCAACGCCAAGCATTGAACAGTCATGAGTCAGGCCTCCCCCACAAACAAAACAACAACAAAACCCTACAATATTTCTTTATAAGGAGAAGATTTTAAAATAAATAAATGCACAAGAATCCTTGTCCTTTACTTTCCAGCTCCAGGGCCTTTAGGGCGCCCTGGGATCCCGTTTCCCAACTTCTCTCTGCAAGCACAAGGCTTGAGACCTTTCTAAGGAAGGGTGAGATTCCCTCAGAGCCACGGGGCTGCTGGGCTTTAGGCAGGACCCACAATCTTGGGACAGTCGCGGTGCAATGGCCAAGAGTGCTGGCGCTGCACCTGCGCAGGCGTGGGAGCGCTTAATAGGCCCTGCCTCAGCGTGCCCGGCGCTGGACAGAGGCGGCGAACCGTGAGGGAGGCGCTAGAAGGGGGGAGGCACCACCCCAGCCCGGCCCTTACCTGCTTGTACCTGGCGTACAGGTAGAGGAGCTGCTCCCTACTGGCCGCCTGCATCAGCCCCGGCAGTCGCTCGGCCGCCCGCTCGAACTGCTCCGCCAGCGCCCGGGCCTCCTCCTCCGGCCCGGCCGACTCCTCCCCGGAGCTCGGCTCCCCGCCGCTGTTGCCGGCCGGGAACGGGGAAGCCATGGCCAACCCGGCCGCCCCCTCCCTCACTGCATCGCTGTCCGTCGGCCGCTCCGTCCCCTCCCGCGGCGGCCCGCCCCTGCCGGTAACTGGGCGCAGCTGGGGTCCCGGGCCAGGGCGAGCCTCTCCAGGGACGCGGTGCAGCGCTGCTACCGGCGCGGGCGGAAACGCGGCCACCAAGAGGGAGGTTCCGCCGCGCGGGGAGTCCCAGTCCCTGCCCCTGCGTGCGGGAGGGCGGGGGCTCGGGAGGCGCTGAGGGCCCAGGGTGGGGGCTGCTGCTCGTCCTCTGGGATACGGAAGAGTGCCCGCGGGTCGGGGCAGGAGCCTGCTTGGGACCCTCTGGGGCTCCCCCCTCAGCACGAGTCTACTAGCGGTCCCAGTCAGGGCGTGCAGGGGCTGAGGTCACAGCAGGGACCAAACGGTCACGGTCAGAGTGTTGCCGCACAGAGGGCCTGAGGGGGGCAACAGCGGGGTTCGTTGCTCCCTGTGCTTCGCGCCAATGAACACAGGGGGTGGAGAAGCAGACAAAGTTTATTCAAGAGCTCTGAATAGGGACTAGGAGACCAGCATGTCTCAAATCAAGCGGGCTGATACAAGCAGTTTTTCCCTTTTTATTCTTTTCTTCCTTCCCTACCTCCCCCCCTTCCTCCCCCTGTAGTAGTTACATTAAACGACCTTGGCTGTGTAGCTTGTTCGCAATGTTCCCCTCTGCAAGTTATTTTGTCCTTCAGCTAGAAGCATGTAGGTTCCCCTTATCACTACCGCTTTCCAGCTGCTGGCCTGTGAGGTTAGTAAAGTTTAATATGGAGGGGCTTTGGTTCACTTTGGCCTAGAGCGGGAGGGCTTCATCAACTCTCGTGGTCTTCCACCCCCCCCCCCGAGTTACCTACGGTGATGCCTAGTGACACCAACAAGAGCATGGATCAGAAATACAATTGTGAAACAAATTGGTGGCTTCCTAGTGCACATGTACCTACATAACCACAACCACCCATTAGCACAGCTGGTACTCTTGAGACTTCAATATCCTCTTAGCCCTTGAGGTGACACCTCCAGTACATGACTATTCACGAAGGTTTTTCTAGAACATTCCGTGCTAATTTTTCCATCACAAATACACGAAAAAGGAAGAATCTGCCAAAACATTCTAGTCAACTATGTAATGTGATACTGCAATCTAGAAATGCTGTGTGATGCGATCTAGGGTGCACCAAGAGCCCAATTACTACTTAAGGACTGACTGTAAGAAGCCACTTTACACAAACAGGTGGCTTCTCACACAAAAGTGGTACTATTTCTAGAAATGCTGAGCTAGTCAATTTAAAGAAGATTTAGGGATTTATCATGAGATGCTTTTCCTTAAAAACCTAGCTAAATAAATAGGGCTCTACACTGAGTTAATCTGACACTGTTGATAATATTTGACAAACACTCATGCATGTTTGAGTGGGACAAGAAGCAGTCCAGTGTATGATCTCTGGAGAGCCTCGAGGAGAGAGGATGTGATTATTAGTAATGCCAAACCCAAGCTTACACAGCTGCCATTTAAATATAAATCATAGATGCCTTTGAGTTCAATGCCCTCTGCAGTTTGGCATAGTTATGAATACAGTATGGTCTCATATTCTCACTATTAACACCGCATGGAATGCCTTTAGTCCTGCATATGGTGCCAGACTTGTTTTGAAATTGGAAAAGAAAAACCTTCTTTATGGTTGTATATATCAAAAAAAGACACCCTCAAGCAGCTTCTCCTTTGAATTCAGGTTTTGTTTTGAGAACAAGGTTTTACACAACTTAATACAAGTAGAAACATTTGCACAACATTTTTTAAATTTCATTACAGTTTTTTTAAATTATCTTTTTTGTAATTTAAACTTTCCCCAGGAGCTCTAGTCATCTAGAATTGGAATGCAACAGCATCCTTCTAGGGCAGGAGAAGGAGAAACTGACCAAAAAAAGGTGAAACTTGCCAAGCTAGTTTCACTGTCCCCTTCAGGAGAGGTCAACATCCAGCTAGGGGCACACTGCTTGGGAAGACCTTCTGCTTCTCCCACAGGATGGCAAGTTTGCTCTTCTCAATGAGGAGGATGTTCAAGTTTTGGATCATGCTCCAGGATACAGCCGTTCCAGGTCCCATTGTTGTTGAGACTGATAACACCATTATCCTTCAAGCCAATTTGGCACCAGATAAGAAACTCCAGGAGATCTCCTCTGTCAGTTAACTCAACAGATGAGGAGAGACAGAAATGGGTCATGGTTCAGGACTATTCAAATGACATCTGAGCTGGGTCCTGATTTCATCTGCATCTTTTTACTGTGCTTATTTAATGCAAAGTAACTAATGGTTAGAGCAGGGGATTAGGTCTCAAAGGATACCAGGTTCTAATCTGCTGCTGCTACAGACTTTGCTGTGAAACCTTGGGCAAGGCACTTCAGCTCATACTTTCAAACTTAGATCCATATTTAGACCTCAAAATGGAAAAAGAAATGGCCTGAAGTCAAGGGGAGCCACATGTGCCTCTGAAAATCAGGCCACTTCTCTTTAGGGCCCTAAATATGAATTTAGATGCCTAACACGGATACACCTACGTTTGAACATTTGGGGCAAAGACAGCGAGATACACAGGTCCATCCAAATGAATGCAAATTAACCTTTCTTTTGTTCACACCATTAAGGTTTCTGTAAACGCCACATATGTTTCCTTAAAAAGAATGTTCAAAATATTTTCAAGATGTTCTAAAAATTGTCATTGGGACTATATTTTGCATCCTTCCACCTGGAAAGCCATCTGCCTTATTTATCTTGGCCTCAACTGTGCAGAGCACAGAGGGAGAGAAAAATTATAACCAACATATTAAAAAATGGCCTATATTGTAGAGCTGGTTAGAAAGCCAAAATTTTTCCCATGAGAAATTTTAAACAAAAAAATCTTTGTTAGAAAATGTTTGGTCAAAAAATACTGGTGGCCTCAGGGGAAGATTTGAACTGATTCAAAATAACAATTTTCATTTCAACTCGACATTTTGACTTAAAATCGGATTTTATTTTTTTAAACTGAAAAAGTGAAACAAAACAACATTTTAAATTAAAATGAAAATGGCAAAATAAGAAATGGAAATTTGAAAGGAACATTTTTATTTTGAAATTTCCCACAGGAAAACTAAATTTATTTGGCCAGACTGATATTTTCCCATGAAAATTTTCATTTTTGAGGAAAGTTTATTTTTTGGTGGGAAAACTTCCTACATGAAAATTTTCACCAGTTCTAATAACTAACACATATATACCTATCACAACTTTGTACTGATATGTTGGGACCTACTGGGACTAGACATGGGGTTCTTAAACTTTTGTATTGGTGAGTCCTTTCACACAGCAAGCCTCTGAGTGCGACCCTCCCCCCTTATAAATTAAAAACACTTTTAAAGAATATTTCACAGTATTGTAAATGCTGGAGTCTGGGGTAGAGGCTGACAGCTCGCGACCCCCCATGTAATAACCTCACGACCCCCAGTTTGAGAACCGCTGGGCTAGAAGGACATGCTGTGTGTTCCACTTGAACACCGGGGACCTCCCTTTTCCAATGCTCTACAGCTTCAGTTCTAATCTAAACAGGGTGTGAGATATTAGACCTTAAACATCTCACTAGAGGAAGACTGAATATTGCCATTCCATGCCCAAGAAAATTCCACCTGTGGAGGAAAAGGAAATATTTTTGTGTCAGGTTGATTTTTAAAAGGTAGCCATTTGAAGCAGAACTAAGGGGTTTGAAATGTTAAAAGTAGTCCTACCAGAGACAGATCATCATGCAAAGAGCATCTGAGGAGCATGATAACTATAATTGATTACAGGTCTCTGCAGTGTCACTTGCCCTCACCATCACATATGTAGTATAGCTATTGTTTCTCTTTATCCTTTACTACACTATGCTGTATGTAGAGCGAATAGCAAAACCTGTAATTAAGGTAACATAACACTTTTTTTGGCGGGGGGAGTGGAGTTAGACTAGCAGTGGATGCTGTGGCAGGACTGGGTGACACTGGAATGGTTTTGTGTTTTAAATGAGGCATAACTGGAATATCAGGGGATCCTGCAGCTCTCATATGGGTTGAACCACTCGTACCTTTCCCAAGACTTTCCTCAAACTGTCCCCTGACAAACTTCCAGCTCTGGGTGATCCTTAGCACCCAGAAACCCAACGAGGAGGAGAAAATCAGCAGGATTGGGGTAAATCCTCTCTCAGAGAGGCTGTCAGGCTTAGGTCAGGGCAGTGTAGTTAGTCCCTTGGATAGGTTGTCCCACTGTCCTGTTACCTGGGAAACCCTCAGCCCCTTTGTGATGCCAAGTGGTTGATGGTTCTGGAGCTGGGCCCAGCTGAGCCGGGGGTAGGGGGAAAGAGGAGAGCAGGAAGGGCTGGGTACTGCCTGGCACTTCCCACATTTTTAAAAATTAGGTGACACCACATTTAAAAATTGTTCTTTGTAGATCAGGGCACTGATCCCTGTGAAGTGGCCAGAAGAGAGTGACAGTGGCAGATGGAGAGAGGATGGACAGACGCATGAACAGGATACAAGGTAAGGGAGAGCTTTTTCAGCTCTAAGGCATGTTGAAGGGGAAATGAACAGATATTACCGATCAAATACTAAGAGCATTGGTACTCTGGAGGGAGTAGAACTAGGGTTTGTTATTAGAAGAAATTCAGACAAGTGGGGAAGAGCAGGGAATGTAATTATGAGCAAAAATTTAAATATAAAAATGTTGATGGTAATTGGGAAATTGAACATTTGGAAAAAAAACCATTCTTAATAAAATAACATCGCAATCATGAAAGAAGGCTTGTTTGGTTAATCAACCATCCTGCTTAAGAGGGTGGGTAAAAGCAGTAATAAAAAATAAAAATATATAACAAATGGAAAGATAGAGAAGCTGATAGAAACAAATACAAATTGGCAGTTCGGAAATGTAGACAATTGATAAGGGAAGCTAAATGTATCAATGAAAAAAAATTATGGCCTGTAGGATTAAGGACAACAAGAAGGAATTATTTAAATATATCAGGAACACACAAAAGGAGAATCTAAGCAACAATATAGGTATGATAGTAGACAAGGATGGTAAAATTA